TTTCTTTGGTTCCCAAAGCAAACTAGAATTTCTCTGAAGGCAGATACTACCATGTGTTATTGCATCCCCTCTTTGTCAGACTTCCATACATGTGTAATCTAATAAAATGCAATTTTACCTCTGAAAATTCATAAGCATGGGCAATTAGGAGAGTTCATGACATGATTCACAGAAAGGGTAAACTCAAGGAGCAGGAGAACCAGAAGAACTTGTAATTATAACTGTTAATGATTCACTGAGAACTATCACCCCTGTATATTTTCTGTAGTTCTTTTCATCCACACTGTTGGTTTTAATAGGTGTTCAAAGCAAGAGAAATGCCTAGGCCTCTCCTTTGTTGCTTCATAAAATTAACCTGTATCCAGACACGTGTAGTTTGAACTTAAGAAAACCAGTTTTACAAACTACGCATAAGATTAAGAAACACACTTCTTTATGTTACCTTTCAGCCATTTCAGAATGTAAATTTCTATAAATTTGTTCGGGTTATTTTTGCATTATACCTTGATTTATATTTTCTTCTTGGAAAATGATACCCATGTATATTTTATTTTTTCTTGTATTTCCAGAAACCAAATATAAAATATTTTCTTCTAAAATTTTAGACACATTTTTTTTCTTTTATTTCTTGAAGGCACTCACAATCTATGAACAACCTCTATATTAATACTCATAGGCTCTTTGTGTTACTACAAATCCAAATAGCTAAAAAGAAAATATAACATCAAGTGGAAAATATATGTTTAAAATACTCATTGTGGGTATCATGGGAACCATATGGGACCAAAAGCCTACTTTCAAAACTATAAATACAGTGAAATCCTTTAAACCTAGCATATGTTGCTTCAAACGAGACTTAGTTTTGAACAGATGTCCCCTTGAACCTGTTTTATTAAAACTAAAATTACTAAATCAGAATTAGTTGTTTTTAAACTTAGGGCCATATTTTGCCACCGAATTTTATTCCAAGATCCCACCGGCGCCAGTGGAAGATCCATGCGTGGAAAAATGGCATAATATGTATCCTAGTTTTATTTATTTTGTATGTATACAGCAGTATAAAATCATATAGTACATATACACTCATTTGACTTATGTATTATTATAGCATTCACAGTAACAAACACTATAGTTAAGATTTAAACTCATCTGTTGTTATAATACCCTGTTTTCACTCACAGATAACTGTCTCAAAAATGTGTTTAGAGCAGAAATTCCCTGCTTACTTTCAGCTCGAGGATGTATGGATGAATTGGAAGTCTGAGTTCTATCGTCCAGAAGTTTTGGAGTCTCATGTGAAAAACTTAAAATTTTTTTTGCATTGTTAATGCCATATTTTCACGCAACTCAAAAACATCTGGAGTGTAAAACTTCAAACTATGCATGTGACAAGTTTTTTCACGAACTAAAAGCCATTTTTCTAACTTTACAAATACTTGAAAATAACAGTGATTAGAAATACATGCATGCACATTGAAGGCAATAGAATTTTAATCATATTATTGCCTGCAATACTCTGGCGGCAGCCATCTACCTGCATTCTCACAGAATGCTTTCATCTAAAACCTATGCAGAGTTTTAGACGGAAAAAAATACTCTACTGAACAGGAGTTTCACAAAGTACTGTATAAGGACTTCGTCTGACCTAGCAGAGGGCTATTCCTTGAAGTGCAAACAATATATAAAATAAATTTACTACTCCATGGCATAAAAAATATGGAATTCTGTCATTTTCTGTTTTTTTTTCTTGTTAAAAAGGAACATAGAAAGGATGTTAAATGCAAAGCCTTTACCACTACAAAATTAAAGTTGAACGAAAAGAACCCAAGAAATTGCAATGTGAAAAATAGGATTTCCAGAAAAATCAAGTATACCAACGTTTTAGGTTTTTTTTTTTTTTTTAGATTCTCGGGTATTAAAAGGACACATAGAAAGGCGAGGAGAAGGAAAAAATTACTGCAATGATAAAGACTAGTGCTATTATCAGTCAGTAATGTGGGTAATTTTCTTTAAATTGTTTAAGATTTGCAACATTTTGACTGAGTAATTATATTAAGGATGAACTTTACTCCAGTAACTTTTGGAAGATAAAATGACTCAATATAATGCACAGTTATTAAAGTTTATGTTAAGAACTGTAAAGATTTTTTCCATCCTTTTATTGGAGAAGAAGAAGGGGGGGTGTCTCCATTAGAAAAGGTCTCACAGCAATTTGTCACACTATTAAGAAATGAAACAAGAGAATGAGTAATTAAGATACTTCAATCTTCTATATTACTTAATTTGCAATGTTTGATAAAGGCATTGCATTTAATATCGTCATAAAATAAAATATACATATTTCTTAATACGTCCCCAAAAGATGATTCACATATTGAAACAGACATTAATATATATGTACAGTAATTCCTTTGTGATATTTAAATATTTAACTTAAAATGATCCCACAAAATTATATTCACAGATAAAAATTAGAATTTTACATGTGGCTGAAATATTTCTAAAAATTGTCATTTGACATACCTTTGAAACATTAAAACACTGTTTCCACAGGAAAATATTTTGACTTTTAACTACTCTAAAACTATGTTAACAAGAAGTAAATACCATAATTATGCTTTTCTGAAATAATTTTTTGATGAAATGCTGTCTTATAGTGTGGATATTATTTCTGTGATATATATAAAATTATGAAAATTTGATATTAGGATGACTAGAATAAATAGAAACCCTGTTTTATAATTCTTTGCATGTGAATCTAATAAATGTTTATTTGGAAACCTTAAATTGTTGGCTGGTTGCATTTTCTATTTATAGTCTCCATAATAATATATAACAATTTAGCCAATGTACTAAAATGATATCCTTATTCTGTTGCAACTGCTGATTTATTCTGGATGTAGCAGTTGATTAATAACCTAATTGTTTAGTGTCTTATGTTTAATTAATTCTACTTGTCCTACAAATTAGGTAAACATTTTGTTGATTTTGTTTCTGTACATTGATAACAAAATTTAGGAGCTAAAATGAAAATGAGTAAAACTGGTTACTATATATTAAAAAAACTAATACACAAGTATATAAGAAGCTGGTTCAAGAGAGATTATATACAATGATATAAATGGCTAAATAATTGAAGAAAAAAATTAAGTCAAAAGAATTGATAGAGCTATTATATATAAAGTGAGTATAACCTTATTTTCCATGCACAGAATAAGGCAGATGGAAGTGGGCTTTCCCCATAATTATAAAATGATAAATAACAGGTTTTAATTAAAGCAAGGTGATTCAACAAGAAAATTATTTTCTTGTTTAAAAAGCAATTATAACAAACACACTTTTTCTAGTTAAATTATATAGAAACATTTTCTTACTAAAATAGTTCATCATTCAAAATATTAATGTAGCAATGCCAAAAGTCTGAGAAATTTTGACCGCTGCACTTAGTGACTGTGTGTGCTTTTGTGTCATAGACGATGAGCTAACTTCAAATATTTGTAAAGGGTCCCCAAGAAACTGGAATATTACACACATTATTTTATTATATAAACTGATTGTGATTATGACATTAATATCTAATTTGATGACCATCAAATAAGTGATACCATGATGTCACTCAGGTATACACAGCAAGGACCTATGAGTATACATATGTTTTAATGTTAAATCTAAGGAAACTATTCCCATTTAAATAAGATAAAAGTAGGTAGAAAACATTTGTTATGTGTTAATTTTAAGTCTATGCTTTAATAACATAGCATAGCTCAAACTATCATTGTAAAATAAGACCAGGTGAAAATTAAGGGAGATATGTCCAAGTAGGTCTGTAATTTGGATTGGTCAAACCTTTAGATGTAATGTTGAAGGTTTTTTATCTTTAATGGGAAGCTGTGACAATTCTGGGGTTTTTCATTTGTTTGTTTAGAAGTTTATCTCATATTCTCTGATTTTTCCTCTTTTAATTTTGTTTCAGTAAGCAATAAGTAGCAGTAGAAAGAAAGGAATATCCTTAAAAGAAAAAGTGCACCCTACTGAAATTAGTAATTAACCTCGTTGACATAAAGTAAAAGGCAGGTTTCACTTTTCAAGGCTGACTTATGAAGAATTTTCTCATTAATACAACACTGACTACATTTAAGCTATAAAATCTTCACACGTAAGATAATACTGAAAGAATAATGTAACATGTTTCTATCTCCAAATTTATTAAATTTGTTTTAAATTTAGAGATTTTTTATATCTTATAGTTATTCAGTATCAGTTCAGGTATTTATATATCTCTATATAGTCATATAGAGTTATAAATAGATTTTACATCCATTAGTTATTAGAAGTCACATAACTATGTAAAATAAAATTCTGTGTAAGTTATATGATTGAGGACTTCTTAAAATAGTAATCTTCAATTACATATTTTACACCACAAAATGTACAGATACCCAGTGTTTGTTTTTTTCCTAACAACAAATACAGATGGATGTATTGATTTTTATAAAAGCTTTAAATGATTCTAAATTCAAAGCCATAGAAATAGAATCGAAGTAATATAGATTGTTAGGTATTTAGATAGTACAGGTTCAGTGCTCCTTGATAACATTGGCAGCTATATCTTTGGCATTGGAAATTCAGTACAAGTTCTTGGCAAAATTTTGTAGCTTACAGCTTCATTTTCTCTTAAACAAGGAAAAATAGGAAGGGAGAAGATATGAAAACTGGGAGGAAACTATTAATGCTTTTTTTCCTATGTAAGTTTATCTTTGGGACCCTGAATTACCTTTCACTTTATTGTATGATGTGGACTGTATGAATCCATTTAAAAACCGACTGAGTTGTACCACATTTTAGGAAAATTATATAATATAATATATATTTATATTTATTTAGAAGCTTCGAAATAGTACAGTAAACACTTTGCAACACGGTGTATAAACTACAGAATGTCTTTGATACTTTGTGGGTCTTCAGAATACAACATTTTTTATAACCCACAGGTGAAAAGAACATAATCACAATCTCTCTGGTAAAGTTGGAATAGTTTGGGGAACACTTGATCACACAAAAAATAATATAAAACAGTCAAGTCGAAAACAGTGATATTGCATTTGTAATGCACAAACTTCCTTTATCCTTATGACTGGCTTCTCGTGGTGAATAGAAACATGGAAAGGGCTCAGTGACATTTGGAGAGAGTAAGATAGATAGTGCTGTAAACAGGCACACACTGATCGGAGAGGCAAAATCCGTTGCCTAAAGTTTCTACAGTTCTGCACATTTCAACTCATTTCTCAGGCCTGCTGAGAGCAAGTAGGTCCTCTAATTGGCCACGGTGACTGCGGGAGGCAATCGACTACTCAGTTACACACAACTAACTGGATGGCCAAGATAATGAAGTTGAAAAGTTGATGCTTTTGTTGGTCGACTTTGTGCAAATCATGCTGCTTCAGGGAAGTCCTGTAGAATTGACTAGCATATCCTTTTCCGTGCTGTGAAAAAGAAAAGAAAAATACTCTTAAGAAAATGAGCTCAGTGTTTGGTGTTTAGAATCAAACATTATTGTAACAGACACAGATATACAGTGAAAATGAGTTGCCCAGAGATCCCCCAGACTGTTAAAATATTTCAGTATTACCTTGGTCTCTATCTGTCACAGTCACTCCATTGCTGGGCTTCCTGAAGATGACAATTTTGATAGTTTTACAAATAGGTTTCACATGGGAAATGTATACCTTACATACAAACCACCAATTATGTGAGATTAACTTTCAAAAATTATCTATAAACCAATCCCTACTTCCTTATTGACACACAAGCAGAGTAATAGAAAAGTGTGTGGCTCTTACATTTTTAGAGCAAGTCTTTAGAATATCTATGAATAACTTGTTATATTTAAGTTAATAAACTCTAAATTATATTTATTAAATTAATACGTAATAGAGAAAACTGTACCTGAAAGTATTGATGTACTTAAAGAAATAAAAGATGATTCACATGTTCTAGACTTATTTTCTCATTTTTCAAATTATATGAAAACCAAAGCTTTTTTATGGTCTATGATTTTTTAAATGCAGAAATGTATTCACTGAAATGAATCAGTTTTCTCATTAAGAGGGTAGAGGTGAAGAAAATGAAAAAGTATCAAATTTGGTCCAATCTTACAAAATTTTTTGAAATACATCCAGATTCAATCATTCAGGTTTTATGCTTTTGAAGTGTTGTATACATTTATAGTGATAAAACCTATTTCTTCCCACTCATCCATAGTCTGTAATATTTAACCATGAGCTTGATGAAAACAGAAACTTTCACCTCTTAGATCAGAATCTGGCACATTAAATCTATAATAAAGATGAACTGAAACAAGATTGTTCAGTTGTGATAAAAATCGCTGATAGGAATATCTCATTGAAAACTAAGAACTAAACTACAATGCATGAGTGAATGATTTTAATCTGGTGAATAGTTGGCCTTTTTCCCCCACAAATGTAAGAATATGCTGATTAGTGCAATTCTTCTCCTACAGTATTTCCATTCACTTCTATTAGATTATTTAAGTATACATTTTTTCTAATTGATTTTCCCTGATTGGTCAGTTACTTTTACTCCCCAAATCAGTTTCTGACCAGACCATCACCCACTTCCTTACTAGTTCATCTTTTAGCAGCAATGCAGCAATTAACATTGTAGAAGCAGTCACTACACCTTCCAGGAATTAAAGTACAAATGAACAGATGCATGTACTATATGGTAACCAGCACTGAAAATGATCAAAACATATTCTGTCTTATATCATACAGTATCATGAATTAACAAACGAGTGAGCAATCACACAGGGCCACATGATAACTATTATACCTTACCTGGTCAAATGCTACAGAGTATATTCTGTTAGCAAATGGAAAATTTTTAAAGAATCTTTTAAAAGAATCAAACCCTATTTTTCTATGTCCTTGAATTCAGTTCCCTGTTTTATGACAAACTGGAGTATAAATGATTCAAAAATACTTTGTTTATACCAATCAGAATTTAAAATTCTACAGTAAACTAGAATAGTTAGTTTCTATAGACATTCAGGTTTATAAAATAAATTTGAATAAATAATTACAGTGACCAAGTAACTTATATTCCAAGCTGAAGAACTGGGTGAGAGAAACAGGACACTATTGACAATTGCACAAGGTATTATCTTAAAAGAAATGAATATATTAAAAAGCTACCTTTTAATATAACTGCAGAAATTAGTCAAACTAATACATCTTTAAGTCTGTAAAATATTTCAGATTAGGTTAAAAATTACTTATGAGAAAAGCTACTAGCATCAATATTGTATGTTCATTTGCATACAAAGAGAAATTATGTTATTAGGGTGGTTCGTAGTTATAAGAACCCAGAGGTTTAGCACTTTATACTCAGTATCTTTCATATAAACATAAGCTTAAAAGGCATATATTAATCACTGCTTAGGGTTACTGTGATTTGCTTTTATTTTGCACTAGTCCAGTACAGTCTGAATAATATAATCACCTTTTTGCTAATTCAGTAGTGCAAATCTAAATAGGACATGTAAAAGGACAGAGATTGAAGGTCAGTACAAATTAGAATGGGGAGGGACGACTTCCTCCATCACAGAAGCTAATTTGCCAAATGTGAAGCACTGTCAGACAAACTAGGGAAAATGAAATATGATATTATTACTAAAGTCATAGTCATGCACATTTTGTTCCAAGGCCTTTAAGGGGTAAATGTGAATACTGAGTAATCATTATTGTTTTGGGACTCTATGAGTTAATAGTGGACAAGTAGCACACAAGTTTTATTTTTTTTTAAAAATCAATGTTATTACCTTTTAGAGTCCGTGGCAACGGCAGTTTCTCCACGGTGTTAACTATTATGACTATGCATTTGCTGAAGCATTTTAGACTGAAAAGAATGCATCAAATACATTGAATCTCTCTGTTTTCTTATGTACTCTATATGTTTTAGAGTTATCGTTGCATACTTGGAGGATTTCACAAATGCATTTTCCCTTAGCTATTCATCACCATATGTGGGGAACTGGTCACTTGATGTGAATGAAAGATTTTCTTTTTAGTCACATCCAGAGTAATGGGAAAGAGACTGTTAGTATTCCTTTCCACCTCTGTTTATTCATTCACTGCATTTATTCTTCACAGTCAGTCATAGAAATGTTACATTTAGCATTTATCTCACTGTCTGAACTACAGATAAAAAAATCGCTCAATGGAAAAGTGATATTCAAATATCTACCTTCTTATAATTTAGTATATATATGTATGTGTATATTTAGCATATATTCATATGTATATATCTAGTGTATATATATAATTGTAATGAAAGTCTAATGATGCCTATTTTTTCTTATATAGTGCAATCCTGTTATTGCCTTTGATTATTTCTAAAGTATATTATTAAACTATAGAACATTTAGAAATTCTAACTAATGACTTAAGAAGAATGACTATAAGCACATATGTTACAAAAACAGTTGTAAAAGTACCCGTGCTGGTATCCTATTTATATAGTGTATAATAATATAATAATCAGCAGTAAAATAATGTGTAATATACTAATATGACAGTTTAATAACTTCAATATGCATATTCCTATACTTGCATAAAAGGAAGCAAAATACCCTTTATACTTTACGACAGTACAAACCACAGAAGCTAAAGCAATAAATAAGGCTTGTGAAGTGATCCAATCTATTTCTGCAGCTGAAAAATAGAACAACCTTCAAACCTCCCGGGTGATTGAGACTCTCCACTACAGTGAAACACTTCAGGGGCTGAGATCAGTAACCTACTCCGGAGCTCATCCCGATGTGTAATGAGCCTCACATCAGGACACTGCTTTATATCTAAGGTGAGTCTGGCATGCGAGAGTTTAAGCCCATTACCCTTTGGAGAAGTCAGAAACACCTGCTCTCTGTTCCTTGTGTAAAGCAGATCATAAACTGAAAGGCAGAAACAGCACAAGCTTCCTTCTAAATAGAGGATCCATAGGCTTTTGTAAATCTCTATACACTTGGGTGTGTCTGTGTGTGTGTGTGTGTGTGTGTGTGTGTGCATGAGCAACGTAAAGCTGCCTTCTCACAAAAGTGAGAGCACATTTACAACTGGTTCCAAAGGAGATGTCTACTCTGAGGTACTGTGACTGTGTTGTCTAACACTCATATTATGAATAGGGTACTGTAATTATAGCCACTCGGTTTTGTTCAGCTTAAAGATCTTTATGTCTGAATAATTATATGAACTAAAAGTGTTTTGAACTCCACAAGAAAAATCAGTGATAGCGTATCAGCTCCTTTAATGAGACAATACACTTTGATTATTATCAGAATTGAAATGATTTGAGCAAGGTATCCCAAAACACACCATAATCATGTATAACTTTTCTATCTAGACATAAGAATTGCCAACATCCTAAATATCTTTCTTAAAAACTACAACCACCAAACTCTTTAAAATTTTTTGATTGTTGTTCAATTATAGTTGTCCCAACTTTCCCCCATTACTCTCAGTGGAGGAGGCATTAAACTCTTTAAATTATTTGTTTTAGAAAAAAACCATACTATGACATAGTGTTTGCATAGAATGTTATATATTGAAGGGAGCTATTTCAAACCTTTCTAGAAATGTTAAAATTATGCCATGGAAGCTTAACTTCTTCCTGGCATAGAAAAAATTATTCATGACTCTACTGAGAACACACTGCACAGGCTCTCTGATAAACAAACCCCCCTTGCCTTGTTGGTACCTTAAAGTCAAGTTTGGGGACTAGATTCGCATTTAAATGCTTCGATCTTACATTGCCATATATGTAGGAAATGAAACTTTAATATCTATTGCTCTCCATGTTTATAATATCATGGAAAATTGTTCTGAAATTCTGCATCCTAATCCACTAAAATATGGAAACTCTGGTTTGTTCCAGAACTATCTGAAAATCGTATCTTTTGCATTGGCAAAGAAGTATCCTTGAAATTTCTTTTGAAAACAATTCACTCAAGTACATATTACTTTAATAATGACAAAGAATACATTCCTTTAAATTGGTATCTAAGATTCTAACAAGATATGCCTCTTTAAAAAATGAATTGCTTCTTTTTTTCCATTGAGAATTATGAAGCTGATCATATTTACTGACATTTAGATACTTGTATTTTAAGTAGTTCACTTCAAAATAACATTTAAGGAGATCAAATTATTTACTTCCTATAAGGTTGAAATTAACATTAATTTTCAGAGCAGAAGGCATGGAAGATGCCTGAATAGGATTGGTTATTCCTGTAAATATAGAATTGCTGCACCTGTACAGATCTACTTGCAAGAAATGACATCATTGTATCACAATATTAGAGCAACAACTAGTGTTGTGCATGACTTCCTCTTTTATATGAAAGCCAAGCATAAATTCAGGCAACGAAAGGTGCAAAAACATAAAAATAAATAGGTAAGACCTTCATTTAAAAATTACACAGCCACGTACCCATTAACTACTAATAGCCTACTTCAACAGAGATAGCATGTTTAAATAATTTAACTAAAATTTTAAATAATAAAGCCATGAAGACAAATGAAAAGTCTTCCTGGTGGATAAATAAAATACTTGTAACACAATTTAAACAAGTTTATTGTCAAAAAGGACACACA